CGGCCGCTCCCGGCGCCGCGGGGCCCGGAGGCGCCGCGCCCCGACCCGGCACGCCGTGGAAGAGCCGCGCTTACGGCCCTGGCATCCAGGGGTGAGTGCGGCCCGGGGAGGCCGGAGGAGGGGCGGCCGGCCGGGGGGGCTGCCCCCGAGGGGTCTTATATGGGGGGATGCTGCCTCCGAGGGGTCTTATATGTGGGGATGCTGCCTCCGAGGGGTCTTATATGTGGGGGATGCTGCCCGCGAAGGGTCTTGTATGGGGGGGATTCTGCTCCCGAGGGGTCTTATATGGGGGGGATGCTGCCCCCGAGGGGTCAGGGGTGAACGCTGCTCGCGAAGGGTCTTAGATGGGGGGGATGCTGCTTCCGAGGGGTCGGGGGAGCGGATCCTGCCCGCGAAGCGTCATTTATGGGGGGATGCCGCTCCTGAGGGGTCGGGGGTGGATGCTGCCAGCGAAGGGTCTCATTTGAGGGGGAGCGCTGCCCCCGAGGGGTCGGGTGAACGCTGCCCGCGAAGGGTCCCATATGGGGGTGGACGCTGCCGGTGAAGGTTATGGGGGGATACTACTCCCGAGGGGTCGGGTGAACGCTTCCCGTGAAGGGTCTTATATGGGGGGGAGCGCTGCCCGCGAACGGTGGGGGGGTGACGCTGTCCCCAAGGGTCATGGGAGGGAGGCTGCCAGCGAAGGGTCATGGGGCAATCACTGTCCCCAAGGGGTCATGGGGGCGCTGCCCACGAAGGGTCATGGGGGGAGCCCTGCTCCCCAAAAGTCCCATATGGGGTGGGAGCACTGCTCCCCAAAAGTCCCATATGGGGTGGTAGAACTGCCCGCGAAGGGTCATGGGGGGACGCTGCCCCCGAAAGGTCATGGGGGAAGCCCTGTCCCCGAAGGGTCGTGGGGATGTACAGTGTCCCCAAAGGGTCATGGGGGGAGCGCTGGCCCCCAAGGGTCATGGAGGCTGCCATCCTGAGTGTAGTTATTGGGGAGCAGGAGTCATCCCGGAAGGATCATTCCTGGGGGGGGGTATCATCCTAGGTGCAGGGTCCCGGGTAGAGGGTGGCACAGGGGGGCATCATCCTGGGTGCAGGGACGCGGGTAGAGGGTGGCACAGGGGAAAGGGGCTCCCCTCTGGTGAAGCGGCCTGTTTCGGTGGTGGGGGTCATCATGCCCAATGAGTGGCAGCCCAGGACAGGGTGGTAATGAGGAAGGAAGTCCCATGTATTATAAAGGCCAGCGGGAGGGATTGTCTCGCGTGGAGTGTTCTGTGGGGAGACCGATGTCATTGGAATGAGTGCAGCCCTTGGGGGGCTCATTCCGGGAAGGGGGGAGTGGATGTCACGGGGGTCCTGAGGGCAAGGTTAGCCCTGTGGGAGAGCATCATCATCCAGAGGTGTGGAGGCTCATTGTCAAATGAGCTCCAGGGGAAGCCTGAGGGAAAGGGGTGTCGCCGGGTGGGGGATACCATTTTGGATGACAGTGGCCCATGGTGAGGACAGCCAGGAGAGAGAGGGAGAGGATGGGGGTGTCATATGGGGATGTCATTCCGGGTGAGAGTAGCCCTTTGGGGACATTGAAGAGGCATAATCTCTGGTGATGAGGCCTGGAGGGAAGAGGGTGAGTGGGGGTTTCATCCGAAGAGTTGGGGAGAAGTGTCATCCATGAGTGAGTGCTGCCCAGGCCATGGAATGGGTGCCACACCAGGAGGACAGGAGGCCTGAGGCGGGGTTTGAGTGGGGCGTCATACCTAGGACAGTGGGGTTGGAGGTGGGGGGGAGCGTTGTTGAGGGGCAGGAAGAAGAGAACATCTTCTAGAAGTGAGTATGTGAGAGGTGTGTCACCCAGGAGGGTGAGGAGGAAGTGTGCTATCCTAGGCAGAATGCAGGTTAGGGGCTAGAGGGGGACATGGGGGCAGAAGGTGCCACCATGCAGGGGCGAGCTGGGGGGTAGAGGGCATCTTGCCTAGGAGGATGGAGAATAGGTGGGTGGACAGGGCGTCATGCCCCTTGGGGGACGGGGGTGTATGCCCTGCAAAGTGCTGGTCCCGTGGGAGGGGAGCGCCCCTGTAGAGTCAGGGTCCTCATCTCAGGGTTCACATGCAGGCTCAGGTGAGGGAGTAGTCTCATGAGTGAGAGCTGGTTGGATGAGGCCATCAGGTGCGCTGAGTGCCAAGTGAAGGGGAGGGAGTACAGCATCCCATTAGCTTCCCAGCCCACCCTGGCAGTGTTCTGCATGTCTGACTTCTTGGAAGGGTCTAGTTATACTAAAAGTTTAGTTGATACTTTTTAGAATTTTAAACTATTTGAAAGTGATTCGGCCTGATCACAGTGGTGCAAGAGCAGAACTGCTGAACCCCAGCTCTGCAGAGTTCACTTTCGGCCTTGATGCTGGGAAGGGAAATGTCATTTTTCCTTGTCCCTCCCCCACAGGGACAAGTAAGGACCCTTTGTCCAAGTGGGGTGTGGATGGGAATGGGATCCAAGGTAATTTGAAGACCAGTGTGGCCTGAAATCTGAGTTAAATGGAAGACAAGCAATTCTCCCCCCCACCTTTTCTTTTTAAAAAATGGTCAGTTAAAAGATGACGAATTGTTTTTATAGTGATAAAATGGAACCAAAATGAATTTGGAAATGATTTGTGGTGGGGAGTTGTATGTTTTTATTTAAATTTGTTCTGGAATTAATTCTGCAAGTGTCTCACAATATTTTGAAACTTGCCTATAACATTCAAGGGAAATAAAAAACGTTTATCATTTGTCTGAATTATTTTGAGAAACAGTACCCTATTGGAAAATGCCATCTGGTTGTTGTTTTTTGTGGTTGTGTGTTTGTTTTTTTTTTTGAGAGAAAGTGTGTGTGTGTGTGTATGAATGTGTGTGTGTGAGTGAGAGAGAAAGCATGAGTGCCCACGCGCACAAAGGCATGTGGTTCGAATCCACCAGCTGCTCCGCAGGAGAAGGATGGGCAGTCTCCTGTGCAATTAATTGCCTCTGAAAAGTCTCTGGAGGGTCAACTGTGGATTGGTTCCAACTTGACCGCACACAATTTTTTATTTATATATGTAACATATGTATGTGTACCTATGTGTGTACACACATACAGATGTACGTGTATACATACATTAACATATATACTCGCACACATACGTTCTTTCACTATGTTCTGTAAAGGGTGATTGTCGTATTTAGGTGTCATTGAGTTGAGTATGACCCATAGCAACCCTGTGAACAAGTCTGAGCCCTGTCCTATCCTGTGCCATCTCCACACTTCCTGACACATTAGAGCTCATTCCGACAGCCGCCCACCTGGTTAACAGTTTCCCTCTCTTTGCTGACCTTTCCGAGCATTCTGTCCCTCTTCAATGAATGGCCGCTCCTTAGCAACATGCCTGAAGTTTGTGAGGCAAAGACCACTCACCCCGTCTCCAAAGAGCACTCTGGCGGCACCCTCTCCAAGACGTATTTGTTTGTTCTTTTGATAGTCTGTGGACTGTTCAGCGTTCTCCAACACCACAGCTCAGAGGCATCAGTTAGATGCATAGCAGGTGATGAGAAAAACCATGGGCTGAATCAGCCACACGTTAGTCCTCAAACTGACATCATTACCCCTCAGTAATTTGGAGTTTCCTAGTTGCAGACTTTCCCAGTGCAGTATGTCTCCTGATTTCTTGGCTGATGGTACCATTGTGGATCCAATAAGGTGAAACTGTTGACAGTTTCAATCTTTTCTCCTATCATGATGTTGCCTGCTGGTCCAGTGGTAAGATTCTTTGCTTTCTTGACATTAAAGTGCAATCCATATTGAAGGCTTCATTCTTTGATCTTCTGCAACAAGTGCTTCAAATTTTCATTTTGAATAAGCATGGTTGTGTCATACACATAACAACAGGTAATTGATGAGTCTCCCTCCGATCATGATTCCACATTCCACTTCATAGAGTTGCTCAGCATACAGATTGAATACGTAAGGATGTAATCCCTTTTTAATTTTAAAACATGTGGTCTCCCTTGCTCATACGTTGTTTCATGAAATTCTTCTGTATTGGCTAATTCTTTTTGGTACAGTGATTCTCTTTACTCCTTCCATCTTTTAATGCTTCCTGGATCACTTAATATTCTGCCCAAAGCATCCTTAAGGATTGCAACTCCAGGCATGAATTTGTTCTTCCGTTCCTTCAACTTAAGAAATACTGTGTGAGTCCAGCCCTTTTAATTTTCTGACTCCAGCTCTTTACACATTTTGTTATAATACTTTACTTTGTGTTCCTTCGCTGTCCTTAGAAATCTTTTGTTCAGCTCTTTGATTTCTTGATTGCTTCTCTTTGCTTTGCCTTCACAGTACTCTAGTGCAATATTCAGAGTCTCTTCTGACATCTATCTTGGTCCTACTCTGCTTTTGTAATGACCTTTTGCCTTCTCCATGGATGATATTCTTGATACCTTCCCGCAACTCATCTGGTCTTTGCTCATTAGTGTTCAGGGCCTCAAACCTATTCCTGAGATGGTTTTGAAATTCAGGTGGGGTGCTCTCGAGGTTAAATTTTGGTTGCCATGGATTCCATTTAATTTGAACTTCAGTTTGAACTTGTCCATGAATAGTTGGTGGTCTGTTCTACAATCAGCATCTGGCCTAGTTTTCACAGCTGATATTGAGCTGATCCAGCAACACAGAAGAATTTAATAAAACAGTGTATGAGCAGGAGCCTGTGGTGATGAGGGAAGAAGTTCAAGCTGCTCTGAAAGAATTGGCAAAAAACAAAGTCCCAGGAGTTGACGGCATACTGATTGATGTAATTCAACAAACAGATGCTGTCCTGGGTATGCTTACCAAGTTGTGCCAAGAAGTCTGGAGGACAACCACCTGGTTGGTTAACTAACTGGAAGAGAGCTATATTTGTTTCCATTCCAAAGAAAGGTGATCCGACAGTGCGGAAATTATCACATGTGAGCAAGATTCTGCTGAAAATTATAAAAAATTGACTGGAAGAGCACATCAACAGAGAACTGTCAGATGTGTAATCTGTGTTTATAAGAGGCAGGGTCCTAGGGATATTATAGCTAATATTAAGTGGGTTTTGGCTGAAAACAAAGAGTACCA